TGCTAGACAAAGTTGATTCATCAATCCAGAGAACACGTCTTTACTGCTCTAGAGTCTAGTGGCAGCAAGCTTTACACCACTGCATCCGACGCTTTGCATTGCACTTGATGTGATGCAACGCTTGGATGCAGCTGCTCAGTCATGGAAACCCATTCCGTGAAGCTCTCTACACACTGTTGTTGTGCTAATTTGAAGGCCACACGAAGTTCGGAGGTCTTTAGCTATTGACTCTGCAGACAGTTGGTGACTTCTGTACACTGTGTGCTTCGGCTTATTCTTTCACAAATGTTTGTAGAAGCAATCTGCATGCCTAGGTGCTTGATTTTATACACCTTTGGTCATGGAGGTGATTTAAACACTTGAATCCAATGATTTGAAGGGGTGTCCCAATACTTTTGACAATATAGTTCTTCTTTGACCACCTGCCATCATCACGGGCAGCTGTATGATTGGATGCTGGTGCCTCGATTGACTTCCATGGCCATCTTGGGTGAGGGCAGTGCTTATTACTGGTCCCTTGATTTGGCGTGCATGTTGGACGTGGTTAGTGTAGGGACAGGTTCCCCATCTATCAGGGAGAGTGTTTAGGGTTAGGGAGAGTTGTACCTTGTTGGAACTACTGCAATACATTGTTCTTGTTCACTTTGGCCTCTGTGTGATCAGTGCCTGCTGACACACAATGTCTGCCAACATACCAGGCAGTATTTTAGTCTTTATCCTACTCTTTAGATATCCTAGTTTTAAAGAACAACTTATGGTGTCAAAGCCTACCGAGAGATGATGAGAATATTCAGGCCTAGCTATTGGTTGCAAAGGTCCAAGCAGTGCATCGTAGGAGGTGCTCAATGCTCCCCCATTCCCAAGCTACTAAGCATCTGAATAGGCAAAGTGACAGAGGCTCTTTAATTTAGCATTTGAGTATAGGCTTGGCTCATCGCACACAGCAATACTTCCCTTCATGCTTTCTAACCCTTTTTGCAAATCAGTATAGTTAAGTTGACAAGCTGCTAGAAATGCCAACATACCTAATTCTATGTATTATGGGAAAGTGAGGACCACCCAGATCTGATCCTATTAAACCGCCTGTTTCTGTGTGATTATAACTCTCTAGATCTTGCTTGTCAAATATCCATCCTGTTGGCCTTTCAGTGTGCTGGACCTCTGAAGGGGACAACGTGCACCCTTCGTAATAAATCGCTCCCCTCTCAGGATGCTATATTATTTTCCTGACATATTAATGAATTTCACAGCATGTCTGGAAAAACTCGCACCTTAGCTGAGGGTTTTCAGGAAAGGGGGAGAGTGAAAGGGTGGGCGGCCGAGCAGGCAAGGAAATCTTGTTTTCATTATACCCTGCCTTAAAAAACTACTAGAGGTGGAGATGGTCTGTAGAATTGGGGTGGGGTGGGGGGGGGGGGGGGGAGGTGGGGGCCCTCACTGTTGGCTTTTTATAAAGCACATGTGGCTTATGAAGCCATCAGGCCCCCAACAGCTGTAAAATGGTCTGAATTTGGAAATTAGTTTAACAGGGCATGATAGATATAACAGCTCTGGCATGTAAATTGCACAAACCCACTATGAAATATTACTGATCAAAACTGCTCTCAGTTGTAACTTCCAAACAAGCGCAATCTGTAAGAGCCAACAGTCTAATTTTAATACTTTTTTCCCCCCATGCCTCCTTTCCTCCTCCCATGTGCCCCCCCACCCCATCCTTCATTCCACAGCGCCCTTAATTTCTTACATTCTGACCTCTCGAACACCTGGCTCTGTGGGGTAGTGAGAACACCCAGCATCTGGAGTACAGATTGGTCTGGACACCAAATGCACATGTACATAAAATATACCCACACGTATATTGTCAGTTAGAACTGTACAGAAAGCACTTCAGCAAAGCACAACACAATTATTTTTTTTCTTTTTCTGTTTTTTGTTTTTCTTTTACTTAAAGTGACTGCACAGACATGCAGAAATGCCCAAACTGCATCAGCAAACAGTTGACAGCAGGTAACTTTGCTTCCTGCCCCTCTTCTTCAATGTCGGCTGAACCCTACTGACAGTAATGCATAAACTGCTTTCTCAAAGTCATTACTTTCATAAATAAATGTAAGCCCCCTTTATCTGACTTTGCTCAGTTTTGCTAATGGCTCACCCAGACACCTGACATCATTCTCAATTTACAAAACTAGCACAAAAGGCAATATACATCCTAAGGGCTCATTATTATTATTTTAATATTATACAGTATTTATAAAGCGCCAATGGTTCGCTCAGCGCTGTACATTACAAAGGGGGACAGAACATGTGACAGAACAATACCAATACAATGCAAAACATGAGGGGATCGAGGGCCCTGCTCTTTTGAGCTTACAATCTAGGAGGGAGGGGATGGTGGCACAGGAGGAGATAGCTGTGGGGGATGGAGTGGTAGGAGGAGTGGAGGTCGGCAAGTTAGCAGGGGGTGGGGTAGGCTTCCCTGAAGAGATGGGTTTTCAGGGTGCGCCTAAAGGAGAGGAGAGTAGGTAATAATCTGATGGGTTGGGGCAGGGAGTTCCAGAGGATGGGTGACACCCTGGAGAAGTCCTGGAGGCGGGCATGGGAGGAGGAGACCAGGGAACTAGAGAGAAGGAGGTCTTGTGAGGAGCAGAGTGTGCGTGTTGGGTGGTACTTGGATATTAGGTCAGTGATGTAGTTCGGGGCAGTATGGTGGACAGCTTTGTACATCAGTGTTAGGATTTTGAATTTGATCTGTTGCGCAATCAGAAGCCAGTGGAGGGATTGGCAGAGGGGGGTGGCGGAAATGGAGCGGTTGGAAAGGTGAATGAGTCTGGCTGCCGTATTCAGGATCGCCTGAAGCGGGGTAGCCAGCGGCGAGGCAGGCCAGTGAGGAGGGAGTTGCAGTAGTCGAGTCGTAATATGATGAGGGAGTGGATGAGCTCCCATGAGTGCTCATGTACACGGGGCATTTGGAAAACACTTCTGAACGATGGAAACTGACTGCTGGAAAACGTAGGTTAAAAAACGTCAGTTTAGCTGCGTTTGCATACCGCGTTTATGCGCGTTTGCGTTTAGAAACGTTTTTAAAAGATAACCTCAGGAAACCCTCCCAAATGCCAAGAATGCACTGAAAAATAGTTAAAAATTAACTATTTCAGACATTTTGAGAGAAATAGAGAGAGCAGAAGCAGAGAGAGCAGTATGTGTTGGGATGACCTGTCTTTTCTGATTTTATTCACTATGGATCCCATCATGAGCATAATGCGGCACGTTCTACCATTTTGTCCTTCACGAGAAACCTGGAACTGACTGCGCTGGTGTACCGCATCCATTTGAATACATGGAAAACACTTTGCATGCATTTCTGATGATGAAAAAAGGCTCTGGACAGCATCTGAACAACATGGAACAGTTAAAAAATGCTTCTAAACGCAAACTCTTATAAACGCAGTTAACCGCGTTTACAAGCATTTGGCATTTGAAACGCTGGTAAAATCTGCTCCTGAACGCAAGTTTTGTGCGTTAAAAAAAAACGGCTGTAAACTCAACTGCCTGTAAACGACTGTAAACTCAGCTACCTGTAAACGACTGTAAACGACGATGTGTACATGGACACATAGGAAAACATTAGGGAGAGTTCAGGGGCTGCTGAAAAAAAACGCAGAAAAGCTCCTGAATGTCAGTTTATCAGCTGCAGTGTACATGAGCTCTTATTTTCCAAAAAGTGACAGTTATTTTCAGATGAGAATTTAAAAATGAAATTCATATGGCTGAAAATAGAGTAGCTAACAAAATTTCTTGGCTAATGCTTCATGAAAAACTGACTAGTATCCTATGGAATAAAAACTTTAGATTTGAAAAAGTTTGGAACCCCGGATCAGATATTTACAATCTCCTATCTAAAGCAGAAGTAGTGATGGGGTTATGGGTGCCGCACTGGGTGGAGCATTTTCCTTGACACCTTTTCTGCTCTTCTTTTCTTTCTCATTTACCCTTTTTTGTACTATTTGTTGATGTTGATTTATTTTGTTTGATTTATTTTTCTGTTTATGGATTATTGATTGGTCTTTGCAGGTACTGATTTCCCACTTACTGTTGAATGGAATGTATCGATTGTTGACACAGCTCACCTCCTGCTCTATTGAGGGACAGAGAGCTAAAAGTACTCATATCCACCTTTTCCAGCAAGCAAACGTGTAGGCAGGTCGCCTACAAGGGGAGTGTTTTCTTTTAGCAAGTGAGACAGGCTGTCGAGGCTGGGAAGGCATTAAACCCATATCTGAAGTTCCCAGTCTTTCTTGGCTCTGCCCTCTCCTCTGTGCTGTTATAAAAAGAGGAGCTCCCGTTCCTGCTCTTTGCTCGATTTGTGGGTTGGGACTGCTGCTCCTTGCAGCCCACTAGAGGCACCAGGATTCTAGAGGACATCCAAGCCATGGAGACTACCACCTCATAGAGGTATGCCTGGGCAGCCACATAGCTGTAGTTAGGATTAGGGATTGGACTTGTTCCTACTGGACTGTAATGTTGAAGTCTCTCCAGTAGAGTTACATTGATTGTTCGGAGCCTGGCCTGAAGTTATTCAAAGGGATGTATGTCATTTCTGGCGTATCTAAAGAGCTAGAGTCTGTAAAGCACAAAGGGGTATGAAGCAACACTATACAGAAAGGGGTTAACTTAGCAAGATGAGGAAGAACAATGTGGTTGTTAAGAGTAACAAAGCACAAGTTCAAAGCATGAAGCAACCAATCTTTAGGCTTGGTAGCTGGTAATGTGGCAGATTCTTTGGTAATGTGGAAGGTCGTCGTCTGGCTCCCTCCCAATTGGTTGGTCTCCAGTAGCAAGCAGAACCGAAACCCATGTTACGGAGATCCATGACCTCGTCACAGGGTACGGGAAATGAAGGAGTTAAAATGTTACTAAACCCAGGACTCTGCATTCACTATATCTGGTCCCAGGACTCATTCACTATATCTTCTCCCAGGACCCACTATATCTGGTCTCCCAGGACCCTGCATTCACTATATCTGGTCTCCCAGGACCCTGCATTCACTATATCTGATCTCCCAGGACCCTGCATTCACTATATCTGGTCTCCCAGGACCCAGCATTCACTATATCTGGTCTCCCAGGACCCTGCATTCACTATATCTGGTCTCCCCAGGACCCTGCATTTCACTATATCTGATCTCCCCTCACCCTGCATTCACTATATCTGGTCTCCCAGGACCCTGCATTCACTATATCTGGTCTCCCAGGACCCTGCATTCACTATATATGGTCTCCCAGGACCCTGCATTCACTATACTCCTCCCATTCATTCACTATAGCTGGTCTCCCAGGACCCTGCATACATTATATCTGGTCTCCCTGGACCCTACATTCACTATATCTGGTCTCTCACAGTACACAGAACATGAAAATGCAAATATTTTAGTAAATATAAACTGCTAAATACCTTTTCTCATCAGCAGTTAGAGAAGTCTTGTGACTTCTATCAGTGTCCAGCAGAGCACTGATTAAAGCTTGTAGGAGGAGTTTTCATTCTGCTCTAGGAGGATGCAGGACTCCTGACTTCTGTATGGACAGTGCTTATTGGCCCTGTGCTTACCACTTGTATTCTTCCATAAAAAAATAAACTATCTAGCAATACACACCAAACTGAACATGTTCAGAGTAACTCCACATGATGAGTATTATCAGGAGAAATAAGAGGGGGGCACTGGAAGAAGGGGTAGGATCAAAGAAGTCAGGATCAAACAGACGTTTTACACAATGCAGAGGATTAACCCCTTAGGTTCCACAGTGAGTATAACAAGCATGCTTTACTGCATATACAGACTGATTTTACTGTTGTGGGTTTACTAACACTTTAATATTGAGCATGCATGAGGTCCATGCTATATGCACAGTGGGACCCCATACTGTTACTGGGAGTGAGGAAACAGAGGTACACTGGACTGGTGGATTAAGCACAGGCTCAGCACATCCCTCCCAGTGCAACAACAACTAAAGTTACAGTGTGTAGCAGTCTCTGCCTGGTCCAGGGCATTGAGGAGCGCACTCCGCAGACAAAGGTACCCCCAAGTGCAGGATGAAGATGACTGCCCACAAATGGATTATTATTTTATAGTTGTAGTTCAAGGGTATTGGAGTCAGTGTACTCTATTAAGTTGATAACCATTTCTAGATATGACAAATGTACCTCAATTACAGCTGTTTTCTTATTCTGTCTTTAATAAAAAAAAGATTGGAACAGAAAATAGAGTGGCTTAGACTGGTGTTCATGCTTTATGAATTGGCCCTGTTGTATTATGGGCTGGGGCATGCCTATACTTTACAAAATTTAGGGCAATGACTGGGGTAGTATCATGTGGTAGGGGTGGCCCTGCAATTACTATAGGGCCCAGCACTGTCTGGAGCAGGGGCGGACTGACCATTTGGAAACCTGGGCACTACCCGAGGGCCCGGGGCAGTAGGGGGCCCCATGAGATGCCCCTGGTACCTTTTTCATAGGCTTTTTTGATTTTGGGCAAGGACACAGGGGCCCCATGATCCCCTGTTGCCCGGGGGACCCCATGAGTTATCAGTCCGCCCCTGGTCTGGAGTATAGCAGTAAGGGCAGAACAGGCAGGAAAGCCATAAAAATCAAATACACTGACGAATCTCTCAGTAAATCAGGAAACATAAGCTACCCTTGTCTTCTGATTTCACAAGAGGGGCTCAGGCAAAACAAAGCTTCAGCTTTGGATGGAGATTATCTTTAATGGACTTCTATTTTAAATGGAAAGAACTACTAGACTCCCTTATTCTACTTAAGGCTAATAAAGCTCTTTTGATTTATGTTTAATGTCTGATTTAATACATAATTATAAGTATTAAGAAGAAAATATGTTGTTTCCTTCATAACAAGAATTTTCTTGGCTCTGCCTTCCTTGTGAATATTGGCATTTCTGTTTTATTAGTCACAGGATAAAGGCTCTTAAAACTATCATCTGATGAGAGCTGCCACCTACTGGATGATAACTGTCACCTACTAGATAATAACTGCCACCTACTGGATGATAACTGTCACCTACTGGATAATAACTGCCACCTACTGGATGATAACTGTCACCTACTGGATAATAACTGCCACCTACTGGATGATAACTGTCACCTACTGGATAATAACTGCCACCTACTCGATGATAACTGTCACTTACTGAATAATAACTGCCACCTACTGGATGATAACTGTCACCTACTAGATAATAACTGCCGCCTACTGGATGATAACTGTCACCTACTAGATAACTGCCACCTACTGGATGATAACTGTCACCTACTAGATAATAACTGCCACCTACTGGATGATAACTGTCACCTACTGGATAATAACTGCCACCTACTGGATGATAACTGTCATCTACTGGATAATAAGTGCCACCTACTGGAAGAAGAAAGTTAAAAAAAAATATATATATTTTTGGACCTTTAACTGCACTGATATATCAGTGATATAGCTCTTATTTAAACCCCTGAAATTAATTTGTTTAAATGTTTAAAAATCTAATAATACATTTTAAAGCTCTCAATCATAGTGGTGGACCAATAGTAAGGTGTGGGTTCCTGGGAAAGAAATTCCTAGTAAAACTTCTGAAATGTAAGGTATTCCCATATTCTGAGCAAGCAGCAACAGCACTTGAAATCAAGGTATCACTCATCTCTGTATCTTTAAGCATTGTGGAGAAATGATTCTTAAAAGTTTACAACACAGATACTAAAAGCTTAGCTTTTTTTCTATTTAGAACAAATCTTGGCAGCTTTCCAACTCTATAATGTACACAGATGGGGACTGTTTACACCACTTGCCATGTAGGGAACTTGTGGGATTGCGCCACCCTCTTTTATACAGGTGCCTTTCATCGTTAATGACACCCCAGAGTATCTAGCAAATGCTTGCACAGTTGTGGCCACTAAAGCGCATGGTAGTACCTGGTTTTTTAAAAGTTGCACCTGCTGTACTTTTTGCATGTTCTTGCATGGAAGGAGAAATATCTTTTACTGACCTTTCCTCCAGCTTTCATGGTCAAGAGTTGATGTTATCATCCTCTAACGAGGTCCCGGGGAATGCTGAGCACTCCAAATCTTGTCTGAAGATGCTGCACCCTAGTGCAGGGAGCTACTTGGTGACATTTGGAGTACTCTACATTCTCCAAATCTTGCCAGAAGGAGGATGTCGCCACCCTTGCCTTGGTGCCACAGGCAAAAGCCAGGGAAAGGCATTTATACTATCTAATTTCTTTTAAGTTCATTTTTTTTTTTTCTTTTTAAACTTTTCTAGTGATTATGCAAGGGGGGGGTGGAAGGCAAATGTAAACATTTTATATACATTTAGTATACATTTATATATATTTTCTGTTGCATCAGGTACACAGATACAACCCATTAATGTATGGAAATACGGTATTTCACGTACAATGTTGTTTTAACAAATCAAAATATTTTTATATATATATATATATATATATATACGTTTCTTTTTTTCTCAGAGAATAGGTGCAAGAATTCCCCCCTTCTGAGCCACTTCTTGTCTCCGCCCCCTACCCACCTCCGAGCACCGTCCTTTGGTTCCAGCCCCTACCCACCTTCCAGTACCGCTTTTTTTTTTCTTTATAAACTTTTCTAGTGATTATGCAAGGAGATGGAGGGCAAATGTAAACATTTTATATACATTTATATACATTTTCTATTGCAGCAGGTACACAGATACAACCCATTAATTTATGGAAATACGGTATTTCAGGTACAATGTTGTTTTAACAAATCAAAATATTTTATATATATATATATATATATATATATATATACGTTTCTTTTTTTCTCAGAGAATAGGTGCAGGAACTCCCCCCCTCTGAGCCACTTCTTGTTTCCGACCCCTACCCACCTCCGAGTACCGTCCTTTGGTTCCAGCCCCTACCCACCTCCCAGTACCGCTTTTTTTTTCTTTTTAAACTTTTCTAGTGATTATGCAAGGAGATGGAGGGCAAATGTAAACATTTTATATACATTTATATACATTTTCTATTGCAGCAGGTACACAGATACAACCCATTAATTTATGTATTTCATGTACAATGTTGTATTGACGAATCAAAGTTTATATATATATAAGTGAACTGGAAAAAGTAGGCGCTGTGGAGAATGCTCTCAAACAAGCACCTTAGTGAAGGTGCGTCTTTATTGGGTGAGACAAAGTAGCAAATATAATAAAATTGACCAGCCTGAAGTGGACAAAATGACTCCAATAGACGGCCCGTCCGCTCTGAGGGGAGCTGAGATCAGAGAATGCTCCTGTCGGCTTCAAATCACGTGGTGTCAGCGTCCCGGCGTCCCGGGTGGTGTCACCATGGCAAGCGAAGGCAGTGTCCGGCGTTGGCTTCAGCTGGGAGTATATGTAGGGTTACCAAGACGACGTGTTTTGCGCAGTTGCGCTTTGTCAAGTCTATAAGTCTTATATATAAGTGGCCTCCCTTCTGAGCCACTTCTTGTCTCCACCCCCTACCCACCTCCGAGCACTGTCCCTTGGTTCCAACCCTTTACCCACCCCCCAGTACCGCTTTTAGAGAATATTGAGTCAAGTATTTGTGTGGAATTTGTTAATGATAACCAGAAAAGCAGTAAAATAGATCCCTCACAGCCAACAGCAATAGACACACCCCCAGCAACAGTGGACCCCGCAACAAAATAGCTACCAGCAACAATAGACCCCCAGCAGCAACTATAGATCTCCCAACAACCAGCATTAACCACTTCCCGACCGGCGGTTGCATATAAACGGCCGGACGGTGGCACTGCAGGGTCGGGTGGCCATTTATAAACGGCTCCCCGCACCCTGCTTGTGCGCGCACCCTGGGAGCGCGCAGCACCGCGATCCGGTGCCCGCTGTGTCCTCCGGACACAGTGAAACACCGATCGTGGGACGGGACCTCTGCACGAGGTCCCGATCATGTGATTACTGATTGGCCAATCAGTGATCACATGCAAAGTAGTAAGCAAGATGTCACTTGTGACATCATTGCTTACTACATGTGAAATCTGTGAATGATCACAGAGGTCACATGGTACAAGGCTATTCACAACAACCTTGTACCATGTGACAAGCTGTGACCAATCACAGCTCACTCAGTACTTCTCAATGAGTGCAAGAATGCACACAGAGAGAAAGAGAAATGATTGCTTTTACATCCTATATGGGTGTAAAAGCAATCAGTGTAAGAAAAAAAAATCTTCATCACCCCCACAAGTAGTACAGTGTCACCATGGTGATACTGTACTGCTAGGGTGACAGTATGTAAAAAAAAAAAAATAAAAATAAAAAATAATAATATAAAAAAATAAAATAAAAATGTAAAAAAAAATGTTTAAAAATTATAATTTTTGGTTATAAACTAATTTGGATTTTTTTTTAC